GCAAACCACGCAGATGTGCATGAAATAAAAAGTGAGCATTGGATCTGCCCCCCTCCCGGGTGTATTACTCTTAGCAGTTTGGTGGCTATTAAGGTTTATTTATTTATTTTTAATGTGATTTAAAAATTTTTATTGGCTCTAATTGTAGCAGTTATGAATGTTTATGTTATTTTCTGCCATTGTTATTTTTTCTTTCTTTCTTTCTTTTTTTTGTGACAGAGTCTCACTATGTCCCCCTTGGTAGAGTGCCCTGGCGTCACAGCTCACACAACCTCACACTCTTGGGCTTAAGCCATTCTCTTGCCTCAGCCTCCCAAGTAGCTGGGACTATAGGCGCCCACCACAACACTTGGCTATTTTTAGAGATGGGAGTTTCGCTCTGGCTCAGGCTGATCTCGAACCTATGAGCTCAGGCAATCCACCTGCCTTGCCTTTCTAAGGGCTAGGATTACAGATGTGAACCACTGCACCCAGCCCTCCTTTCTTTTTTTTTTTATTTGAGGTTAATGTGAGGGTACAAACAACCAGGTCACAATATTTGAATTGGTTAGGTAGAGTCCCTCTTGTCGTTGTATCCTGCACCTAAAAGATGTGCCAGACACCCCTACATTACGCCCATTAAGTGGGAGCATGCCAATTCCCCTTCCCCACTCCTCTGCCTTGTTCCCTCTCCCCACACTTGAACTGGATTGAGTTTTTCTTTTATATGGGTGTGAATTAGATCATCTACTGGCTTCATATTATCCATATATTGGATACTTGCTTTTCCATTCTTATGGTACTTTACTAAGAAGAATGCGTTTCAGCTCCATCCAGGTTAATACAAAAGACGTAAAGGCACCATCTTTTTCATGGCTGAATAGTATTCCACAGAATACATATACCAAACTTTGTTGATCCATTCCTGGCATTTAGGTTGTTTCCACATCTTGGGGATTGTAAATTGAGCTGTGATAATCTAGTACAAATGTTACTAAGGTTTATTTTTGAGAAAAAAAAAGTTTCTTTTTCTGTGGAATGTTAAGGATTTTACAGGTGGGTGTAAGAAATTATTATTTCAAAAATGAGTTCCATCTCAATTCTTGGCAATCAAGGACAGGAAATGTATCATGTACAGCTTTACCTGTTCCTTCCCCTACCGTGCCTGGCATAGTACCCTGAGTACCACAGTACTTGCCGAAGTATTTACTGAAGAAAAAAATGAAAAAATGGACAAGTAATATTCAAAGTTCCTTTAATGAACAAAATTTTCCAGCTTGTGCTTTCTCTAAGAGGTTAGGACTGCTTTATTCTCCACAATGTGATGGGTACCACAGGAACCAACATCTCATAATCCTGCAGGTCTTCGATCTGAAAGAAAGGCATTTTATTGTGACTTTCAGCTCACTTTGAATAGAGCAGCTCTAGATGTTCCCTGGACGGGAGTAGTAGTTGTACAGTGTCCTCCCAAAAGGAACAAGGGCCGGGCGTATTTTTTCTATGGAAGGCTCTGGTTTGTACCTCTGTGGACACTGTGCTATCCTTGTGTTGTTTACAAGTTCTAGGACTTGAGGAAATAAAAAGATTAGAACTATTTTTACTACATGATCCTTAATATCTTTCTGTTAATTATAAATTGAACAGTTACCCATATCCTCTTGGGTATTTTTACTAGATAATGTAAGCCTGGAATATTAACTCTAAACTGTCTTCCTCAAAATCTGTACAACCCTCAGATAAAACCCACACATACACCGTAGTCCCTGCTATGTAGGAGGCTGAAGCAGGAGGATCGCTTGAGCCTGCAGTGAGCTGGGATGGCGCCTATGAATAGCCAACAAACAAAAAAATCACACGTACATTTGTATTTTAGCTTAAAAACGCATCGTATCAGGTGGCGCCTGTGGCTCAAAGGAGTAGGGCCTCAGTCCCATGTACCGGAGGTGGAGGGTTCAAACCCAGCCCCGGCCAAAAAAAAAAATAATAATAAAATAAAAAATGCATTGTATCTATTCATAGTGAACAGCTATCAGCTTGGAATGTGTCTCATTTATTAAAACTCATTGAGCATTCTGAAATGCCATCTCCCTAGCAAACAGAAATTTGAAACCAAAGTAAACAACAGTAAGTCTAAAACTCCAAATCCCCAAGACCTGGGGGAAACCTCCTGAGAAGTCTTCATGAATGTTATACGTGTCTACAGAAACGTGTTCGTTATTTGGCATCAGCAGAGAAGGAACGTTCAGGGTCTGATGGGGTTAGGGGTTTTTTTTGTATCTGTAGCCTACTGAGCCCTATTCTTACATCCAGTGTTTTCTGCGGCTCAGGTCAGCCCCTGGCTGCTCTCGCTACTGTCCCAGTGATAGACGACACTGTGAAGGTCACTTTTATTTCCACTGCTTTCATTCTAATCCCTGCTCTTCTTGTTTGCTCTTTCTGGGCTCACTTCTTTGAGACTTCTTAGATTTTTCATTAAATGGATGACCTCTTCTACAACCCCCCAACCAAGTCATAGTTAAGACCTTGGCATTTCCCAGCCCTGACCTTGCTGTCGGGTAAACCCTGGATCCCTGGAAGTACTGGTGGGCCCTATTAGCAAATGTGGACACTCGTGTCTCTTTCATAGGCATTGTCCGCTGCAGAGTAAGCACCTGATAGATGAGAACAGTCGCAGGCTTAGGAGCGGTAGCCTCTGGTGACTCAAACCAGCTGGTGACGTTTCTTGCTCCTGGAAGAGCAACTTCTGTCCACTCACACACTTATGAATGTTATAGTCAAACCCTGTTCACGGCAGAAAACCAGACTCTGCCCTTAAGGACGTCTTCGGTAGTTCTCTGTGTCTTAAGGTTAGGAATTGCTTCCTTGCTAAAAGTTTTTCTTTTAATATTTTGTAACCTATTGTCTAGGCCAGTGTTCTTAGGTTCTATAAAGGGCTCCAGGAAATCGATCACTGGTTCACCAAGAGTTTACCACTCCATGTGTCCAGAGGTTCCTAAAAGTTGCAGAAGTGCAATTTTGATAACATAGCCCATAGGATGAAGGTCATTTATTCATTTTACTCTTTAGAAAGTCCATATGTCTAGAATTGTTAAAGGGTAAACACTACTAGAAAAAAGTTTTGGAAGAAGTTTAATAAGCACTTAATAAGGTATTTTTATTTCATCATTTTTTCTTTTTTTTTTTTTTTGAAACAGAGCCTCGAGCTGTCCCCCTGGTAGAGTGCTATGGCATCACAGCTCACAGCAACCTCCAACTCCTGGGCTCAAGCGAGTCTCTTGCCTCAGCCTCCCAAGTAGCTGGGACCACAGGCATCCTCCACAATGCCTGGCTATTTTTTGGTTGCAGACGTCATTGTTGTTTGGCGGGCCCAGGGGCTGGATTCGAACCCGCCACCTTAGGTGTATGTGGCTGGCGCCTTAGCCACTTGAGCCACAGGCGCCGAGCCATCATCATTCTTTCAATTAGACCCCACCCAACCTTTCCCTCCATCCCTCAAGAGAGAAATCACCAAATATGTTGACCTGAATGGAGTTGGAACACATTCTTCTCAGTAAAGAATCTCAAGAATGGAAAAAAAGAGTAGCCAATGCACTCAGTACTATTATGAAACCAATATATAAACACTTACACACTCATATGAATGATAAAATACAAATATAATCTAGCAAGAGGGAGTGGAGAAGAGTGAAAGGGGAGGGGAAGGCGATTGGTGGGAGGAGGGAGGGCATTTGGTGGGATCTCACCTAATGTGCACAATGCAAGGGTATATTTCAAAATAGCTAAGGGTAAATTTTAAATGTCATACCACAAAAAATAAGTGAGGTGATGGATATGTTTGTTAATTAGTTTGATTTAAGCATTCCACATTGTATATCAAATTATCACATTGTACCCCATAAATGTATACAGTTATGATTTTAATTAAAAATTTAGTTTAGGGCGGTGCCTGTGGCTCAAAAGGTAGGGCGCCAGCCCAATATGCTGGAGGTGGTGGGTTCGAACCCAGCCCTGGCCAAAAAAAAAAAAAATTAATTTAAAAAAAGAGAAAATGGGGGCAGTTGCCTTAATTGTGAAAGTCCACGACTGGGTGGTGACAGCGCCACCTTGTGGCACTTTAATTGTTCTCCCTGAGGACCACTATTTCAGGAATACCAAACCCAGATGGTTCTGCAATAGGCTTAAATGACATCACTTTTTAGTACTCATCTTAATAAATATTGAGTCTTTTTTTTTTTTGAGACAGAGTGTCAAGCTATAGCCCTGGGTAGAGTGCCATGGTGTCATAGTTCACAGCAACGTCCAACATGGGCTCAAGAGATAATCTTGCCTCACTTTTTCCATTTTTTAGTAGAGACAGAGTCTCACTTTTGCTCAGGCTTGAACCTATGAGCTCAGGCAATCTACCTGTCTCAGCCTCGCAGAGTGCTAGGGTCACAGGCGTGAGCCACCATGCCCAAGTCATTATTTGCTTTATTTTTCAATCACATTTTTCCAGTTTTGTATATTTAATTTTTAATTGTATTTATTATGGGGGTTTTGCTCAGATGTAGTCATGTACAGTATTTTCATTTTAATATAGGTATATATTAATATATTAATTTTTACAGAAAAGAATGAGTATTAAGTAATATTAACTGCCATTCATTATTCAATGTGCTAGCTTCTGAAACGTAGTTTTTTTTGTTCCTTCAGCCACCAGCCAAACCACATCTGCTGTCACTCCAACCATAGAAACTGTGACCGATACCAATGAAACTACTGAAACTAGTTCCCCCACAACTATCAAAAATAGTTCCTCCGTAGCTCCCATCACCACTCTAAGTACATATTCTCCTGCTGCAGATGCCCCCTCTGCTCCACCAGCAGGTAATACAGCCAGTCCCTCCCTAACTTCTCCACCCGCTCCTGCAGAAAGTGAGTCAACTACAAGTGCAAACTCATTAGTCACAGTCAGCATGAGCACCACTCCATCTCCCAGTGACACGTCAGGTGGAACTCTAACAACACAAAGTAACAGTGGCATGTTCCCCACCACAAAAAATGATTCCTCAGTGATTTCCACGACATCTCTACCACAAGTGACTTCCAACAATGCTTCATCAGAGAACAGCACCTCAAATCCTAGTGCCACAGGTAAGAGTGATCCCCTCCTAGATGCCTCACTTTGAGGAAAGAACATAACATTGTGGGGGGTGGTAGGTGAGTATGTGCTGGTGGTGTAGGAAAGTGGGTGTCAAGAGGCCCAAGGTTGCCTTGGATGGAAATGGTGGGCATAAAATCTGAGTCACAAAGGCTAGGCGTGATGGTAGAGACTCTAAGATCACTCTGAGCTGCATTCAATTCTCCTTTCCTTTCCACCCTGCCTTCCTAAGTTATCTGACAAATAAGGAATACAGGTACTTAATATGAACTTAGACTTGGTGAAAGCTGCCTCTACAGCTTCCCTCTTCCCAGGGGATTTCTGGAAATAAGTTTCAGCTTCTCTGAGAAGACTAGATCCAAATAAGCACTAACTCTCCAGCCCCAACAGGCTAGCTTTTGGTCTACCTAAGGAAAAACTCAGTTCTACCCTGAAGTTAAGATAGTGACTGATCACAATTTGGGATTTGTTGAGCCTAAGAGATAAAAAGCCAAACAATGGCAGTGCTCAAACAGTCCCACGCCTGGCCACTACCATTATCCAAAGGACAGATGGGTGGGGGATACTGTCTAGGAGATGACAATTGATCTCGAGTAGAAATTACTGAAACAGAAACCAGTTACTTCATTTCTCCAGGTTTCTTCTAGAACAGGGGTCAGCAAACTTTATCAGTAAAGGCCCTCAGCGTCTCTGTTACAGGTCCTGTACTCTGCTTTTTTAACACAAAAGCAGCTGTAGTCAATACATAAATGAATGAACCTGGCTATGTGTCAATAAAACTTTATTTATACCAAAATATGAAGGTTGCCCAGATATGACTCGTGAACCATAGCTTGCCAGCCCCTGGTCTAGAAGAATCTTCAAACTTTAAAGGCTGTGAGCCTAGATAAACCTGTCATTCTCAGACGAGGAAACTGAAACCCAGTAATGACTTGCCCAAGGTCAAAGAGCATGGTCTTTGTGTGATGATGAACTCTTTGTGTGTGATGTCTCTGTGTGCTTACGTCTGTTAGCTTCTGCCATGTTCCTGGATAGATTTAAGAAACAGATGGGTAGGGCGGCGCCTGTGGCTCAAGGAGTAGGTTGCTGGCCCCATATACTGGAGGCAGCGGGTTCAAACCTGGCCCCAGCCAAAAACTACAAAAAATAAAGAAACAGATGGGTAAGCAAATAGGGTTCAGAGCCTATACCCAAGATCCAATGCCCCAGTCTTCTTTTGTGTTTGGAGGGGCCACCCTGAAGGTGGATTCAAATAGAATACAGCACAAGCAACTCTACTGGGATCAGGAAAGGAAGCTTTTCTAAGCCATTTCTGCTTCCTTGGACACTCTCTTGGAGTCAGGCAGTCCTCCTGTGCTCTGGCCCTCCCATTGGATAAGCATGGGGCATGAGGCAAATCATTTCTCTCTTGGCTGCAACTTACTCATCTGTAACAAGGTGTGACTGAACCAAATAGCCACCAAAATCCCTTCTGACTGCAACATTCTGTGACTTAATAAATTCTTGGCTACAAAACAAATTAACAAGGCCATCCTCCATTGCTAAGAGCATACCCAGAGTTATTTGCCTGGTCAGAGGAGAGGAGGAGCTTTGTCTAGAGAGGAGCTAAATTTGATTTCCTCCCTAAGACTTTCCAAATCATCCTTGCAACGCAGCTCTTTTTTTCTTTTTTTTTTTTGGAGACGGAGCCTCAAGCTATCCCCCTGGGTAGAGTGCCATGGCATCACGCTCACAGCAACCTCCAACTCCTGGGCTCAAGCGAGTCTCCTGCCTCAGCCTCCCAAGTAGCTGGGACTACAGGCACCCGCCACAATGCCTGGCCATTTTTTAGTTGCAGCCATCATTGTTGTTTGGCGGGCCTGGGCTAGGGATTCGAACCCGCCACCTTAGGTGTATGTGGCTGGTGCCTTAGCCACTTGAGCCACAGGCACCGAGCCACGCAGCTCTTTTTAAAAAAGCTATTTACTTTTCTTAGCAGACTGGTTCACACCATGTCACAGGGATGACCCTTCTTGTTTTGCTTTTGGGTTATTTATTCATTTATTTATTTTTGCTTGTTTGTGTGTGTGTGTTTTGTTGTTGTTGAGACAGACCCTTGCTCTGTCACCCAGGCTAGAGTGCAGTGGCAAGATCATAGCTCTCTGCAGCCTTTAACTCCTGGGCTCACGTGCTCCTCCTGCCTCAGCCTCCTAAGTAGCTGTGATTAGTGGCAGCTACCACCATACCAAGCTAATTTTTCTTTTTTCTTTCTTTTTTTTTTTTTTGAAGATGAGGTCTTACTACTTTGCCCAGGCTTGTCTTGAAATTCAGACTTAGCTCCAGAATTTCAGCAACAAACTCCCTAAAGACAGAGGAAAACATGCATTGGCTTCTACCTCTTCTAAGAGTGTGCTCCGGAGTAACACAGCCAAGGAATAGAAAGTCCCCCTGGGGGAGGCATGAAGATTGAAAAATAGATTTCTAGGTGTTATCTGTTGTCATCTCTTCCTAATCTCTTTTTACTCCATCTAAGGTCCCAGAACTCCTTGCGAAGCTTCTCCCTGCACAGATGGTTCCGCATGTGTTAATCTTAATGACAAACACTTCTGCCTGTGTGTAGAAGGGTATTACTATGACTCTTCTGCCTGTGTGAAAGGTAAGTTATAAGGGCTGAGCCATGGAAGAGCTTTCTTTGTACTTCATACCAAAAGTGGAATAGAAAACACAAAATGATGGTGTAAAAATTCCATAACACTACAAGTAGAAGAAAATGTGGAAGCAACAAAGTAAAGTGCTATTGTCTGGGGACACTGCAACAGAATAAGGTGTCAGCTTGCCTAAATCACACCGCCAGCCAGGCCTGGGAGCCTGGGAGCCTGGGCTTCCGACTTTGGTTCAGTTCTCTGACACAGGATCTGCTTCTTCCATAATAGCAAACCCCACTGCTACAGACACAGAGCCTCTCATCTCTAAAAATGGACTTCAGGAGCACCTGTTACACTCTTGGCATAATAATTTTTGATTAGATCACCTGGGAGCAATGAAGGTCCAGGACCTTTTTTTTTTTCTGTTTTATGAATAAGAAAGACCCCCCTCCCATGCCAAAGCAGACCAATTGTATAGGAAACAAATGTATTGCCCACAGGGGTTAGGGATATACAAAAAGCCTCCCCCAATAGTTCCTATTTTTAGCACTAATAACTTCATTTCTGGGGATCTATTTTAAGTAAATACCCCAAATATAGAAAAAAGGTTTAAGACGCCAGGAGTGGGTGGCTCATGCCTATAATCCTAACACTCTGGGAGGCTGAGGTGGAAGGATTGCTTGAACTCAGGAGTTTGAGACCAGTCTGAGCAAAAGCAAGACCCCATCTCTACTAAAAATAGAGATGGGCCATGGAAGAGCTTTCTTTGTACTTCAAAGAAGTACAGCTAGGGGTTATGTTGGGCACCTGTAGTCCCAGGTACTTGGGAAGCTGAGGCAAGAGGATCACTTGAGCCCAAGAGTTTGAGGTTGCTGTGAGCTGTGACACCATGGAACTCTACCTAGGGTGACAATGTGAGACTCTGTCTCAAAAAAAAAGGAAAAGAAAAGAAAAATGTTTTGCACATAAAGGTGTTCATTGCAACCTTATCCTTTTAAAGATTAAAAGTGTTAAGTCCAACAACATAAAATGACTATGTCAATGAAGGAGATAGAATATTATATCATAGAATATTATACAGCCCTTAAAAATGATGGTTATAGCCAGGCATGGAGGCACATGCCTGTAGCCCCAGCTACTTGGGAGGCTGGGACAAGAGGCTTGCTTGATCTCAAGAATAAGTTTGGTGATGTGGTACTCTATGATTGCACCTGTAAATTGCCACTGCATTCCAGCCTGGCTGACATAGCAAGAACTCCTAAAAAATAAAAAAGATATAAAGACCAGGCAGTAAATTGAGAAAATGCCTATTATGCCATAATAAGTTAAAAAAAGAAATATGGCATAAAATTGGAATTATAATGATGTGAATGAAAGAAAGAACTGGGAGAAATAGACCAAAATGAAAATGGTTATGCTGGGTCCGGAGGATCATGGGTAACATTTTTCACATTTCCAGACTTCCTGTAATGTCGTTATATAATGTTGAGAATTCTAGAAATTAATCTGTTTTAGAACAAACTGGAAATGACCTTCTTTACATTAAGAAAGATTCTATTTGACTTTCAGGAAAGATATTCCCTGGGCAGATTCGCGTACAAGTATCAGAAATTTCTGGCTTGGAAGACAAAACTTCCAAAGCCTATCAAGACTTGTATTTTAAAATTACTGATTTTGTAAGTACTTTCCAGCTTTTCTTTCTGTATTCTTTGTTCTAACCCTGAGTTGCGGAGTATAGAGCTGGTCTTCAGGTGGTACCCACTGGTATAGTTGTACTGGTTATCCAAATAGTGAAATGCACCCTTCTTGGTTGGCAAGGTGCCCTGAACCCCCAGGTGCCCTGCTTTTCAGTTGTCCGTTTGCTAGATGACAGGCCTGTGTTTCTAAATGGAATCTCTGGACCCTGGATGGTTTGCAGAAATGCCAGCTATCCTAATATTTAAAAGATTATAAAGGAATCTGGAAATATTCTGGTTATCAGGCTAAATAGGGCATAACATTTATTTGAATTTCACTAGAATAAAAGAAACATTTCTCTTTAAATTCATAAATTTAATTTAAATTAATTTTTAAAATGTCACTGATTGCTATGGTCTTTTAAAATGTGGGGTCCCAATGGAGGGAAAAAGAATAAAAAGTCATATATTATGAAAAGGTGGCACCAACCCAGATCAATATTCTTATCTAATGAATGTGGAGATTGAGGCCCCCAAAGAGGAAGACATCTATCCAAAGCCATCATCTCATCTTTCACATTTCATTCATTCAGTCATCATTCAACCAGTGCTCGCTGAGTATTTCCCAAGGATTGCTTGGGCTAAGTGATATTCGGTGGAGTTGGGGGAATGGGATAGGGGAAGCTATGTCATAAGAATGATAAACCCTTTTCTTGGCATCAAAGAACTTATGGTGTAATTGGGACCCCCAACCCACCTCCACCTCATCCCTGCCAGACATCCTGGCTTTACCTCTGGCCACTGTCCAATAAAAATCTAGACCGTAGCTCAGTGGTTAGGGTGGCGGCCACATGCACTGGGGCTGGTGAGTTCAAACTCAGCCTGGGCTTGCTAAACAAACAAACAAAAAAAAAAAAAAAAATAGCTGGGCATGTGGCAGGCACCTGTAGTCGCAGCTATTAGGAAGACTGAGGCAAGAGAATTTGCTTGAGCCCAAGAGTTTGAGGTTGCTGTGAGCTATGATGCCACAGCACTCTACCAAGGGCAACAAAGTGAGACTTTGTCTCAATAAAAAAAAAAAAAAGAAAGAAAGAAAATCTAGAGCAGTGGCTCTCAACCTTCCTAATGCCGCAGCCCTCTAATACAGTTCCCATACTGTATTGAGACCAGCGACCCACAGGTTGAGAACTGCTGATCTAGAGTGCCTCTGTTTCTAGAACACAACCCCAGCCTAATGACACCCACCTTGCTGGGGAACGTTCTCACACACCAAGCAAGGAACCATATAGTCCATCTTGTTTCTATATACCATAGCCCTTTATAGTGAGAACTACTGCTATCTCAAGCTGGGTGCCCTCCACCGCACCCGGCTTGTATACACATTTTAAGTGGTGTTAACTTTTGCAAAAGCTGACAAATGGAAAAATTCATTTCCATGAAAAATCTCCCCAATTATTTTCCCCAATTTAACCTGCTCCCTTCTGAGCCACGCAGCCCCTGGACACTGGCGTGTGCTGTTCCTTCTTCCACCCCCAGCTGGCACTGCCTCTTGAAATGCTTCAAGGCCCATCTCCTTCACAAAGCCCTCTCTGGATCTCTGCAACTGGAAGAGCATTTCTTTGAGCTTCATGGTAGCTCCTGACTTTCTATGACACTTCTGTCACCTTCATGGTGATCACAGGGCTGGGCGTGCCCATCTCTGTAATGTCTAAGTCCCTTAGTATCATACCTTGGGTAAGGTAGGCAATTAAATAAATGCTTCTCGGGTAAATTGAGGAATGCACAAGGCACATAGTAGGTAAGACTAGAGAGAATGCCGATCTTAAGACGAACTCAGTAAGTTAATCACCTTATTTTTAAGAATATAATTGATTTGGCAGAGTGTTTTAGATTTCCATCTCTTTTTTTGGATAATTCTTCTTATAACAGACTATTAACTATCTTATAGCAAAGATTGCTGGAAGGTGCTAGCATGTTAAGAAGAAATAATTTGTTGTGAAGAACCATGTACATTTATATAAATGAGTTTAGAAATTTGTTGATATCTGGATAGAGAATCGCTTTTTAAAAATTATTTTTAACGTGTTGTTAAATCTGTTCTCCTCCACAGTTTAACACTACATTTGGCCCAGTGTATGGGCAGACTATAATTCTCAGTGTAAGGTAAGTTCGCTATGGACCAGTGGGGTGCTTTTGGGGCAAACGTGCCTAACTTCTGGTCTTTCCTTGAGTTCCCCATTTAACACTAGTGGTCCCTCATGGCAAGTCACAAGTGAAGAAAGGTGGTCAGTCTAAGCACCACAGAAAGGACTGTGTGCCTTGGCCTTGTCTCATGTCCCAACAGCTCTGGCCTGCAGGGGCAGGGGGTGGCCTGGGAAGGCAAGATGCTGTCTGTGGTTGGTTACCCGGGAACTTGTGCATATGGGCGTCACGTGGACTAGCGTGTTGGGTTGGATCCCTTGGCTACAAACCACATGTGGTCAACTCTGGAAGGTGCATTCCAGGAGGCCAGAAGGGGATTGAATGGTTTGGGTTGGATCCCTTGGCTACAAACCACATGTGGTCAACTCCTGGAAGGTGCCTTTCAGGAGGCCAGAAGGGGATTGAATGGTTCACAGTCATCTTTTCCTTCCTAGGGAGGGAGTGAAGGGGACAAGAACACCCAAATCACACACCCAGCCACTGAAAGGCCCGTGGCGAGCTCTTTCTTTAGTAAGAACAGGACTTTATCGAGTGTTTCCATGTGTGATGATAAGTGCTGGGTGCTATTAGGGACATACAGAGGCAGAAGATTCTCAGAAGTCAGAAATTCCATTTCAGCCTTGTCTGGAGCACATTAATACCCAGGTACAGAGGCTGAGGGAAGAGCGCTCTAAGATGAATGGGCTTGGGCAGAAAAAGCAGCCTTGAGGGATTATTTGTGTTGCAGTTTTAGTGTTATAAGCTGTCAAATCCTTTGTGGAATAAGATAAAGGATTTACATGTATGTGTGTCAAAAACATATATTTTATATGTGTGAAATTTTTAACACGTACATAAAACTTAAATATATAAACTTATTTAAAAACTTATATACTAGCGTACCAAAAATGTATATACTTTTTTAAATTTATTTTTAAAATTAAATTAAAAAACTTTTTTTTTGAGACAGAGTCTCATTCTGTCACTCTAGGTGGAGTGCTGTGGTGTCTTAGCTCACAGCAACCTCAAACTCTTGGGTTCAAGAGATCCTCTTGCCTCAGCCTCCTGAGTAGAGTAGCTGGGACTATAGGCACCCACCACAACTCCTGGTTAGTTTTTCTATTTTTAGTAGAGACAGGGTCTCGCTCTGGCTCAGGCTGGTCTTAAACTCCTGAGCTCAAAGGAGCTTAAGGAGTCTACCCACCTCAGCCTCCCAGAGTGCTAGGATTATAGGCATGAGCCACCGCACCCGGCTTGTATTCACATTTTAAGTGGTGTTATCTGTGTATTACTTTTTGAAGTTAAATTGAATCATAGTAGCAATGTGTAATGTGATGTTTGCTCAAAAGATGATATTAATCAAATGAATGCTAACGTCACCATGTGACAGGTGCGAATAGGATAGCTTTTTTTCTTAAAATGTGTATGCACTTCTTGGCATCATCTCTGTGTGTGTCTATGTGTGTGTGTGTGTACATGTGTTAAAAATTTCTGAAAAGGTATCCTAAAGGTGGCAAGTGTTGAACTTGGTCTTAAATGAGGGGCAAGTCTGACTGGCAGCCGAGAGGCATGGTTTGCACAGTGAGGGGCTGGCAGCAGAGGCTCTGAAGCAGGAGGCAGAGAGCAGACAGCTGCCAGAGCACTGTGAATTGTTTCCAGGGATCAGGTTTGGGTTACTGGACAAGAGCGAGTTCATATATAGGGGGTGAAACAGGAGTAGTGAGATGGAGTCAGCCACACCTGTGCTTGAATCCTGCCCCGGCACTTCCTTGCTATGTGACCAGACAGGTGATCCAACAACTTCTCTGAGACTTTGTTACCTCGTCTGCTTCGTTGGGATGATCTGATCCATTTCCCTGGAACTCTATGACGAATAACTGAGATGAGGTTTGGAAGGTTCCCTGTACATAGTGCCTGGTACATAGTCGATTTCAGCACTGATCTGTTCCCTTTCCAGAAGGGAAGACCCTGCAGTATGAGGAAGTGTTCATCATGTCCCCCAGATGGTGGCAATGCTCCTATTCTCAGGGAGTTACTAAAGGGAGTCCAGGGTGTTTAGATGTAAACCTTTATCTATGAGCTTAGGGTCAGGAAGGGACAATTTTAGGGCCAATGGACCTGGTTCTCAACTAAGAAGGAATTTCTTAGGCACCAGCCCAATTTGTCTCTCTCCTCTGAATCTCCAAGGTCTTGACCTACTGTAAAAATGCTGGAATTTTGAAAGGATCCTCAGAATCTCTCTCTCCTGAACTCTCTTTGGACAGAGGAGGAAATTCAGAAATGCTATGATTGGTCTTGGGCCACAAACAACAGTGGCAGGCTTCGCTCTAGACAGGCCTTGTGTCTTATCTCCAACTCTGAACTCTGGTCATTCATAGGCAAGTGCACAGTGGTGCCACTGTTTCCTTTAGCTGTTTCACAGGTGTCAGGCCTTGCTGCTCGAATCAGAGTATGAGCTGGTAGGTTCTTCGAATGAATGCATTATGGATGGATGGCATTTCCTTTCCTAGCCTCAGTGCAAAAATTATGCCATAGATTTCAACCAGTATAGAATAATTTGCATCAAGTACCCCTTTCTCAGGGGCCTATACATTCCACTCCCCCAGTCCTGACATGAATGAATTATGGTAGAAAATTTTAAGTTAAAATCCTGACACCTATTTTACTTTCTTGGACTCGCTTTTGAGGTGATTGTTTCTAAAGATAGAATTTGGTTCATGTTTTGGATTTTCTTAATTGTGCTAAGGACCCAACACAGCTGTAAACATTCCCTAAATAGATTAGTTCTGTTTTCAAGCTTCTGTATATATTCAAAAGTCAAAATGGAGTACAGAAAAAAAATTGAACAACAAGAGAATATTCTTTTTTTTTGAGACAGAGCCTCAAGCTGTCCCCCTGGGCAGAGTGCCGTGGCATTACAGCTCACAGCAACCTCCAGCTCCTGGGCTCAAGCGAGTCTCCTGCCTCCGCCTCCCAAGTAGCTGGGACCACAGGCGCCCGCCACAACGCCCGGCTATTTTTTGGTTGCAGCCGTCATTGTTGTTTGGCGGGTCCGGGCTGGGGATTCGAACCCGCCACCTTAGGTGTACGTGGCTGGCGCCTTAGCCGGTTGAGCTATAGGCGTCGAGCCCAAGAGAATATTCTTAAAAGCATAGATTCACCAATCAGCCTAGCTCACAGCAACCTCAATCAAACTCCTGGGCTTGAGCAATCCTCCTGCTTCAGCCTCCTGAGTAGCTGGGACTACAGGCATCCAACACAACACCCGGCTATTTTTTCTATTTTTAGTAAAGATGGGGTCTTGCTCTTGCTCAGGTTGGTCTTGAATTCCTGAGTTCAAGGGAAGATCCCACCTCGGCCTCCCAGATTTCTAGGATTATAGATATGAGCCACTGTGCCCAGCCTAGAGAAATGTTTTTAAGTCCTTTTTCCCTCTGTCTCAGTGGTTATATTACCTGATTCCTTTTGGACAATGAAATAGTTAGAACTTGGCATACTGAGGCCTCTAAAGGATGGTGCTATTTAGAAAGGGAGAGAGAGTGTTACACTGTCTTGCTGGAAGCAGGCCTGGCATCTGATGATCTGATTTGATATCACATGCCCACGTTTCCCACAGCCCCACCTCTTTTTGCTGCAGTCCTCCCCTGGGTGGTGTTATGTCCAGGCCTGATCATGAACCCACTTTGAAGCTGCCTGCTTGATTCCTGCCCATCCTGGGAATGGCCCAGGCTCTGTACGTTTGCTTACGCTTCTCTCTGAGCACAGGGAGGAACACAAAGTCCGAGATTTAACAGTTAAGCAAGAGACTTAATCTTGTTGTCCTACAGAAAAGTGACAACTTCATATTTCAGACGTTACTTTTCCACTTCTGGCTAGTTCCTAAAATTCCCTTCACCCACCTCCACTAAGATATTATCTTCACCAACAGCTCTTCTGAACACACATTGAAGAGAGCTCTGTGGGCCTTTCAATTGTCACCTTTTTGTAGCTCAAGCCTTCTATAAGTGGGCCTCAGTTATAGTGACCAGGCAGTGGCCTGGGATGTGGGTAGGAGACTTGGGGTTTAGGAAGTTATATGACCCATTTGTTGGCCATTCGGTTCAACCCATCAAGTGACAGATTCATTTCATTTTTAGCACATCTCCTGAAAAGCGTGCTGCTGGCAAGGTTACCGTAAGGATAGTAAACATTTTGTCACAAAATGCAAATGAAAGTGAGGCGAGTGTGTCCAAAATGATTGAAACGGCAGCTAATAGTACGTCAGGCAACTTTTCGGCTTATGTTGGTAAGTATTAAATAACTTTTTTCAAAAAGTACCTCCCTTTTGGTAAACCTTTCCATTATATGTGAGAAGGAGGCAAGAACTGTGTAAGTGACTTGACAGATGTCTCCAAATTTCCTTTTAACCAATCCATCCTTCCTCCCGTTCCTCTCTCACTCGCCTTCTTCTCCTTTCTAACCATCTCCCAAGTCATCAAACTGACTTTTGTTCTTCTCTTGGAAGGTGTAAATGACCAGAACCATCATTGCTGGACAGGGAAAGATAAAGAAAGGAAAACCAAGAGGGCTTTACACTAACTTACAGCTTTCCAGATGATTATAGAAAGTTTCACCTATTCTATATCCCCCCGTAGGCTGATACACAGGCCCACAGTGTAGTACAACAATTTGCATTTGCTGTATTACAAACCACCCCAAGACTTAGTGCCCTAAAACAACCACCATTGGTTTATTCCAACCCCATAACTCTGTTCTATTAGAATTTGGGCTTGACTCAGCTGGATAGTCCGCTGATGGAGGCCAGGCTTGGCTGATTTCTGCTGGGCTCACTAGCTGCTGTGTCTGATCCAAGACGGCTCAGCTGGATGGTTTGTCTCTGTCCCTCAGGGTCTCTCATCGTCCAGTAGGACAGTTCCAAAGGGTGTCAAGGGCAGCAATTATTTCTCAAATCTGTTACATCACATTTACAACTGTCCTAATGGCTAAAGCAATTCATGTGACCAAGCACAGTGTGGAAGGCCCCCACCAAAGGACAAGGGTATAGAAAGATGTAAATAAGTTGATCCAGTCACCATCGTCATGGACTACAGAGTCATGAGAAATTCCTCACCTCAGAAGGGACCTGTCAGGCCAGTCCCTGGCAGAGGAGCCGTACAGCTGGTTGCCAAACCCAGAGTCCTGCGCTCAACCACAGTTTAGTCAACATTTTTGCAATATTTGACTCTAGTGTCAGTTCCTTCTCGACATCTCGTCCTCCCTGAGCCTCCCGCTCCCCATTCTCCTCGTCCCCTTCCTGCCTCCTTCATCCTGCTCTTGCTCCTTCCAAGACTCCTTCCTTTTTCTTTCAAATTTTTGGGTGTCTCAGTGATTTTTCAGTACCTGGCACATAAATACTCTGAGACAAAACTTTTAAAATTCTATCAGAAAGTATGGAGGTTCCTCTGTGTCTTCTCCTTGGGCTTCAGCCACCTTAGCAATGTCCTTTCTACTCTTTTCCATCTAAGTATAATTTCTTAGCAGAAGCGACGTCAGAAAAAACAGTTGGGGAGCCATTCTGTTTTTGTCACGTCACCTGTCAATATCACACTGACTAGGCCTGGGCTTTCCGTCAGCCCTTCATAGCATGGGAAATATGCACATATTCACACACACACACACACACACACACACACCTCCATTCTTTTGCCAACTTTTCATTTTAAGCCTTTTGTTTTTTGTTGTTAGTTTGAATTTCATATATGTCAAGCCTGAGCTCATTTAGGACTCTAGACTCTCTCTGATATACTTTATATATTTTATCTTCGATTATGTGAGTCTTTCTTCCCACATTTTGTTTATTTCTCTCATCTGAGTGCTTTCTGGGTGAACGACACTGTGTCCTGGCCCTTCCCCTACATTTTTGCAACTCGTTTTTGCAGCCGTCCAGTTAGAAGTACATTTTCAGAGCTTCTCACCTTTTTGAACTATTTTCATCACCAGCGTCTCAAGCCTTGGAATTACACCTTTTCCTTTCTAAACATTTCGACATTTATTCTCTTAAAGTCTACAGCATGCATCTATCTGTGTTTTCTGCTTCTCTTTCTGGCTGTCACTTGGTCCCTGTCTCCTATGGGGCCCATCCCTTCTCCCTGCTGATCAATTTCTCTCTGGGGTCCAAGTAGGAATTGGTCCAGAATAACAATTTATGGGATCAGAAATCAGAAACTCTGTGGCCTGGACCTTGTCACACTGCTTTAAGTTAGATGAAACTTGGGGCAAGTGTGAAGTTGAGGGTCCCCACCTGCATGGCACTGACCACTCAGAGTGGCTACCTGCTGGAAACAACTAATGCATTTGGTTGCACAGGGTGGCTTACACCTGTAATCCTAGCACTCTGGGAGACTGAGATGGGAAATCACTTGAGATCAGGAGTTTGAAACCAACCTGAGCAGAAGTGAGACCCCCCCTATCTCTACTAAAAATAGAAAAATTAGCCAGACATTGTGGTGGGTGCCTGTAGTCCCAGCTACTTGAGAGGCTAGGGCAGAAGGATAGTTTGGACCTAGGAGTCTGGGGTTGCCCTGAGCTAGGCTGATGCCGTAGAACTCTAGCCTAGGGCAACAGAGTGAGACTTTGTCTCAAAAACAAACAAATAAACTAGCACATTCTTCAAGAGAAAGTTGGGGGCCCCAGTACAATTCTCTCACTTTGGGGCTCCTTAGTAATTGCCTTGGCTACAGACCTTGGCATACTTGGAGACCAAATGGCCTCAGCTCTGAAAATTGCATTATAGACAGTCCCTTTCATCATCGCCCTGGTCTACCCTAGGACCAGGTTTGCACTCTTAGATGCCTTAGCAAAAAACACATGGTGCCAGCTAGCGATAGCCAGGAACACAAACCACCCAGCAAATGAAAGTGAGGGAGGAAACCCTTTTTCTTGTTCTCCAGTTTCAGCAACAAAGATGAATTCTCTTGTCCATGCTAAAAGATGTGGAATCTCTTGCTTTAGGCTCTTTTTTTTTTTTTTTTTTTTGAGACAGAGCCTCAAGCTGTCCCCCTGGGTAGAGTGCCTTTGCATCACAGCTCACAGTAATCACCTCCTGGGCTTAAGTGAATCTCTTGCATCAGCCTCCCAAGTAGCTGGGACCACAGGCACCCGCCACAACGCCTGGCTATTTTTTGGTTGCAGTTGTCATTGATGTTTGGCGGGCCCGGGCTGGATTCGAATCCGCCAAGTCTGGTGTATGTGGCTGGCGCCTTAGCCACTTGAGCCATAGGCACCAAGCCTTGCTTTAAGCTCTTAATTGGAGGCATTTTCAAATGGCAGGTGATGGAAGAAGGGTAGTTATAGTTTGGGATGTTTAGTAGAGAGTGGCCATATAACTTTTCTACCTGCTCCTGGTCTCTCCCTAAGCTAGTCTCAGTTTCATCTTTTTAACTCCATTGCCTTCCAACCCACTTCTAGACAAACATTCTTAAAGACTGCTCTCTCATGCCATGCTCCTGCTCAGAGTATACCAATGGATTCTCCAGCTTGCAGGACAAAATTCAACTTCTTTAGCCTGACATTCCAACCCTGCTCTACCTGTGAATGAATGATAGAATGAGGGTTTGTTGAGGATGCTGTAGCATCATTTACATTGGCTCACCCGATTCTCACAGCAATCATGGGAAGCAAGAATTATTTGCCCTATTTTATAGATGGAGGGAGCTTGGAGCCCCCCAAAATCGAATGACTGAACAGAGAGGCACGGCCTTTCTTCTCCCTCCACACGCTGCCTCTTCCCTACCCGTCACAACTGCCACATTTGACGCTAGTCTTTGCTTTTTTTTCATGCCTTGTTTGCTCTCTACTTTGAAGACTTTGCCCTTTTACGATTTGTTCAAATCTCCTCTATAAGACTTCACTCAGTCCCGCTTCCTCCATGATGTCCTATTTAGCGACTTGAGCCCCTGAATTACCATCATATTTAATGTCTGGCCTATAAAGTCTAGTGCTGAATTGTGAGTTGTTTGGTGTGATCTTCTTCTATGGGTCCAAGCACATAACTTTATAAAGATGGGGCCCCAAAAGTTATATATCTATTGCACCCCAGAGTTAGGTGCAAAAGAGATTTTGAACTTGAACATAATTGTACTTCATTAGGCTGAATTAATTTGAACTGAACAGTAGGAAGAAGTTGTTGAAGAAAGGATTGGGGAGGTGGATTTCACAACTCAGATTTTCATTTAAATCCCAAAATTAATTAAAAGGAGAAGCACAACAACAATGGAATGGGGTGCTTTGTTGATATTGTTTTACTGAACATATTTTTTTAATTATTTGTGCTTCCCAGCGGAAAGTCGGTGTGACTATCATGGTTGCAAACAGGCTGATGATGCCTGCATTAATGGTTTAACCTGTGAGTGCAAACTCAATTGGGAAAGACCTAACCCCCAGGCTGCCTGTGTTGGTAAGTGTTCTACCTGCTTCTTAATTCTTCACAACTCTTATTTTCTCTTTTTGCTTTTGCAAAATGCAAACTTTACTGCTTGAATCTCCACATGCAGTTCAGAGCCTGCGTGATGTGAATTTTGGGTTTAGACTCATGGACCAGGATTGGGACCTTCACTAGGAGCTAGTGAAGCAGCCCCAGTGTGGCTTCACAGGGGGCATGCCATGTGCCAGGCCAATGACACCCCACTGTACCTAGAAAAGGAAATGTGAAAGAAATTGAATTCTGTCACTTGTCCCTTTGGGGTTGAAGAGGTCTTTGTTTACAAAGAAATCACTCTGTTTTGAAGCCTCCAGTCCACAGTGTCCTGATAACTGCCATGGAGAGCACAAGCAGTGCTTGGTAAAGGATGACGGGATCCCTGAGTGTGCCTGCGAGCCCGGCTACAAGGAAGAAGATGGGAAGTGTCAAAAGTAAGAGAAATCGGCTCGGCACCTATAGCTCAACTGGCTAAGGCGCCAGCCACCTACACCTAAGGTGGCGGGTTCGAATCCCCAGCCTGGACCCGCCAAACAACAATGACGGCTGCAACCAAAAAAAAAATAGCCGGGCGTTGTGGCGGGCGCCTGTGGTCCCAGCTACTTGGGAGGCGGAGGCAGGAGACTCGCTTGAGCCCAGGAGTAGGAGGTTGCTGTGAGCTGTAATGCCACGGCACTCTACCCAGGGGGACAGCTTGAGGCTCTGTCTCAAAAAAAAAAAAAAAAAAAAGTAAGAGAAATCATTCCGTCTCTGTCTTGCGTAGCTGGAGCTAGGCAGAAAGGACAGAGCTTGCAGCACACATCCAGGTTTACAGTCAGGAGGTTGGTAAGTGGCATAGGCTGGGAGGCCCAGAGCGTCACCACTGTCATCTTCACCGTAGTTGTCCAGTGTTCTCCATGTGCCAGGAACCACATTAGGTGATACCCATCCCACAACAACACTGTCAGGAACATGTTTGTTCCCCGTTTTCAGGTGAGGAAACTGAAACTAAAGGTCAATATCATGCTCCAGCGTGCAGGGAAGCAAATAAGTGGCAGAGTCATTTGGCATCACAGTCTGAGGGAGCCCCACACACCTTGGGTTCGGCTCCACTGCATTGCTGAATCCTCCTGGAGGACAGGATGGTGTGCAATCAGTAAGAAGGGCGCCCACGGAGGATTGTATACACTGTCGACCTTCCAGAGCCCCATGGAAGGTGTTCTCCTGGAAGAATGGGAGCACAAGGAAGACAAGGGAAAGAAGAGAAGGAACAAGGGAGGACAGGATGAAAGGAAGAGGGAAAAGAGGAAATGGAGACTGGGGTGGGCACTCTGACCCGTTCCCCAGAGGGGCTTGTTAACATGGTTTCCTATCGCTCACTGTATTTTAGGTGTCCGTTTGGCTACAGTGGACTTGACTGCAAAGACCGTGAGTATAAAGTCTTGCTCTCATAAACAAGTTATTAAACATTTGAGAAATGAATATTGACCACATTCAAAATCCTGCCCAGGGCTGGGTACGGTGGTTCACACCTGTGATCCTAGCAGTCTGGGAGGCAGAGAAAGGTGGATTGCCTGAGCTCACAAGTTCGAGACCAGCCTGAGCCAGAGTGAGACCCCATCTCTAAAAATAGCACAGCATGTTGGTGGGTGCCTGTAGTCTAAACAGCCAGGCATTTTGGTGGGCATCTGTAGACTCCATCTCTAAAATACAGGGTGTTGTGGTGGGCTCCTATAGTCCCAGCTACTTGGGAGGCAAGAGAATCACTTGAGCCCAAGAATTTGGTTGCTGTGAGCTATAACACCATAGCACTCTACCAAGGGTGACAAAGTGAGACTGTCTCAAAAAAAAAAAGGTCTAGAGCAGTTCTGTTAGAGAAGCTGTATTTCATTTTTAATTTTAAAAATGCCAGATAAATTTTTAAAAGTAAAAAAGAAAGAAGTAAAATTTCAAGATTTAATAAAACTAATTGTTATTACTTGAAAGAAAAAAGAAATAAGTAAAATTGATTTTAAGAACATATTATATTTAGCCCAATGTATCCAAAATATCATTTCAACATGTTATCAATGTAAGAATCATGAGTAAATGGTTTCACTTTTCATACTAAGTGTCTGGAATCCAGTGTGCATGTTTTACTTCCCCACCATCTGAGAGCCACATTTCAAGTGTCCCCAGCACCAGCCAGAGCACAGTTAGAGGAGGACAATGGGCGATAGTGAACCTCCGACTCGTCACTGATGCCGTCCAGCCATTACCTGGCTCCTCTCAGTGACAAATTTAACTCCAACCTAGTTCCCCAGCTTCTCAGTAAGGGGAGGTAGGAGGGAGGCAAAGGCAGGCGAGGTGAGGATGGAGGGGAGAACCTCCCACCTCCACAAAGCCCAGGAAGACCCTGCTTCTCTCTGCCTCCATTGGACTTAGGGTCATTTATCTGGCAAAGCTTCCCTGCTGGTTGAGTTGAGGGGTGTGGGGAGGGGTGCCACTACCCAACCTGGCCCTGGAGGGGTTGGAGACCAGAGCCTGCGTCCTCACAGCTGGGAGTCACTGGGCAGTGGAGAGTCGGGGGCTGAGCCATCTCTACTTTCCTTTTCCCTTTCAGAATTTCAGCTGATCCTCACCATCCTGGGCATCATTGCCGCCATCATCATTCTCAGCATGCTGATTGCACTGATCGTCACAGTAAGGTACGGGGTGGCAGTGTCCCTCCCCTGGGTTACAACACTGTAAGCGTGACACTCTCATAGCACAACACTTGTTTCCAAGCACACCCAGCCTCTCCTCCGCAAGAGAAGGGAGATAAAGGGAGGCCTCCCCAATGCCACTGACTTTTCCCCCTTACCTTAATTCTCTTCTGATTATATAAGCTGTGCAAGATCATGGAAGAATATTGAGAAAATAGAGAAATGTGTAGAGGAGCAGAATTTAAAAATGACCCCCCAAACTCACCACCATGGGGCAGCTAACATTTTGACACATATCTTTCCAGATTTTTTTCTCTTTTATAATAATGCATGCAATTTTTTATCCTTTGTGTTTTAAAAAATTTTTTTTGCTTCAAAGTGCTTACTTTATTTAAAAAAGAAAAGATCAAGAGGGCTGCAGGGATTTTTTTTTTACATGTTTTAAAATTTTTTTTTGTTGAAGTTCATTTTTGCATAACAGTATAATATGACATAGCAACCATCTCCTCATGTCCTTAAAAACTGGTAACAGTGTTTCACCCCACTGATGTTGCCAGATACAGTTTTCATCAGGTCACTTCCCTGCCCAGGGCTGTGCTGCAAATGGTATGAAATCAACCTCAGCTGACTCCTGCATGTGGAAAGGTTACCTCTGCCAGTGGCTGTTTCTCAGCATGGTGCCTTAAGGTCTGTCCCCTTTCAGGGAGGGGGAGCAGGACCCCAGTAGTAGGGGAGTGAATGCAATTATCTTTTTTCTATTCTGAACGTACCAAGTGAAGATCCAATTTAGTAAAAAGCAAGCTAGTTTTTTCTAACATTTAGCAGATACTGTACATTTTGATAAAATAGGTATTTGCCCACAATACACATGTCTTAACTAACTCTTTCCAGAGACTTAATAAGGAAGCAAAGCTAAGAACTGGAAATGTGGGCCTGGTGTCTGACGTCTCTTTCTTAGAAAGAAACCCAGAACATTCCTGATTCTGGATCAAGGCTGTCTCTTTTCTTTGCTCTTTTTTTTGAGACAAAGTCTCACTTGGTCACCCTTGTTAGAGTGCCATGGCATCACAGCTCATAGCAACCTCAAACTCTTGGACTCAAGCCAGTCTCTTGTCTCAGCCTCCCACGTAGCTGGGACTACAGGCACCCACCACAATGCCCGGCTATTTTTTTCGAGACAAGGTCTCACTCTGGCTCAGGCTGGTCTTGAACCCATGAGTCACTCACGATCACTTGGCCTCCCAATGTCTCCTCTTAGGCGGATTAGCTGTCTTGGTTTTTCAGGGTCCTCAAGAGTTGTTACTGGACTTGTGACCCTGTGACAGCCTTGTACCCAGTTCCTCTTTCATGCTGCAGAGGCACTTTACTCTTAGCCCAGCTACAGATTCGTGATTCCAGGGAAACACCAAAATGATAATTTTCTCACCCATTTCAAAAGAAAGGGAAGCCTCTCCTCAACACCGTGGACAAGGGTGTTGTCACAGGGCAGGAACTCTGCTGTGGGAGGAGTGAGGCACAGGGGGCTCTCCCTGGAGTGTCCCTGAGGCTATCATAGAAGCAGCCAGCCCATTCCCCCTCCTGTAGTCCAGGGCACTCAGGAGCAGGACCAGGCTTGGGGGTGAGGAAGGAAGGAAGGATCCCCAGCAGAGGTATTTGGGGACAGATGCCTCCCTCACCTAAAGTACTTCCATTTGGTTTGAATATTTACACTTGAGATATTTTTTTTTTTTTTTTGGAGATGAGAGTCTCACTTTGTCACCCTCAGTAGAGTGCTGTGGCATCATAGCTCACAGCAACCTCAAACTCTTGGGCTTAAGCTATTAATAGCTATTAAGGCTATTACCTTAGCCTCCCCAGTAGCTGGGACTATAGGCACCCACCACAACACCGGCTATTTTTAGAGACTGGGGGTGGGGGGTCTCACTCTGGCTCAGGCTGGTCTTGAATTCCTGAGCTCAGGCAATCCACTCCCCTCGGCCTTCCAGAGTACTAGGATTACAGGCATGAGCCACTGCACCGGCCTATACACCTGAAATCCTTAAGGGGCCACGAGAATCCCAGGAAGTCCTATTTCTGTTCTCAAGACCTTTATACCTTGAACTCATTTTACTCAGTGAGGTGATTCAATAGAGCTGACTTTGCTGAGATGAGAAACTAAGATAATAACATGATTAGCAAAATATGAATGGGCCCAGTGGATTGAGATGGTCATGTTGGAGCCGCATTAATACCCTGGTTTTGTCATTGGAGCTCATGGGGGCACTGTCCTTAAACTCAGCCAACAGTGTCCTTAAACTGTTGTCCTTAAACTCACCATTGAACAGAATAATGAATGACGTATTAGGGGTAGTGGGATGTCAGGTCTGTAACTTACTTATAATTGGTTCAGAAATGTTAATATTCCAAAATTTTAAAAGTTTTTTTAAAAAACCTTAACATTTACTTCAAGGAACTTTCTGCCTAATTTCTATTACTGATTACAGATCAAAGAACAAAGCGAAGAATATTGAAGAACAGAACTTAATTGAGGAAGACTTTCAAAATCTGAGACTGCAACAGACAGGCTTCAGCAATCTAGGAGCAGATGGGAGCATCTTCCCTAAAGCCAGGATAGCAGCTTCCAAAGACACCCAACCACAAAATCCCTATGTAAGCCAGAGGAACATACCCGGCCCTGACTATTAGGTGAGTCAGTGGGTTTCTGCTTTTCAGAGTAAAATGCCCCAGGGCAGAGTGGGACTTGGCTATTGCATCTTCAATACATGGGAACAGCACAGACATTCTTTTTTCATTTCCTTCCCTCCCTCCCTCCCTTCCTTCCTTTCTCTCTCTTTTCCTCTCTGTCTTCCTTTCTCCCTCTCTTTCGTTCTTTTCTCTTTTTTTTTTTTTCTTTTTTGGAGACAGAGTCTCATTTTGTCCCTCCCAGTAGAATGCCGTGGCATCATAGCTCAAGCAACCTCAAACTCTTGGGCTCAAGGAATTCTCTTGCCTCAGCCTCCCAAGTAGCTAGGACTACAGGTCCCCGCTACAACGCCTGACTATTTTTAAAGATGAGGTCTCACTCTGGCTCAGGCTGGTCTCGAACCTGTGAGCCCAGGCAATCCATCCACCTCTGCCTCCCAGAGTACTGGGATTGCAGGTGTATGTCACCAAACCTCTTTCTTTTCCTTCCTTCTGTCCTTCCTTCCTTCCTTTCTCTTTCTTTCTTTCTTTTTCTCTTTCTTTCTTCTTTCTTCCCTTCCCTTCCATTTCTGTTTTCTTTTCTTTTTTTCTTCTTTTGAGAAAGAACAAGGAGGAAGCTCCTGCTATAAATAGCCACCACTTGGCTCCTATCCATCTATGTGACTGATGTGTAGACGCATCACTTTATTTCTCTGGCCTTCTAGTTTCTCATCTGTAAAAAAAAAAAAAAAGCAGCTTCATTTCGATGCCCTTAAGTTCCCCTTAGATCATCAACTTCTATGGATATGACTCCAGGGATTGTGATGACACTTCTCAGACTGTCTAAGGACCTAGGTCCTGGGGCAGGCGCAGGGAGGGGGTGAATATGAACACAGCTCGGTGGGGACCGTTCCCTCTAGGCTGTGCAAAGGCAACTTTCTCCTCCCCCTCGGATTTCAAGGGAACTTGATTCATTTCTAAAGAGATAAGTCGAGCGAGGCTGGTAATTACTTATTTCCCTTGGGATAACTTTTGAGAATAGGTTGTACCCACTGGATTTGTATTGAATAACAGAGCTGACACTGCTTAGTGTGATTTGAATAAAATGTTGAAAGGAGAAAGCTGTAAGCCACTCTGGGAGGGCAGCGTGACAAGGCAACCGAGATGGAAAGAAAGAAGGTGGTGATGGAAGAGGAGGAAGGGGCTGGGAAAGAGACACAGAATAAGAGAGGTGAGGAGAGAAATGGTAGGAAGAAAAGAGGAGAAAGCTGAAGACAAATAATGTTAATTAGTGGTAATAATTTATCAATCTTAATTTTCTCAGATGCTTCTGCTGGAGTATTTTTTCTAAGATCATCTCTCACTTTCTTTCTGTCTAGAATGGTAACAATCTGGACCCTTCCATGGCCCCCCACCTAACCTACAAGCTATTATCTTGAGTATTCAGAAAGACTGATGGAGAAGTGAGCCCCGGTGGAACTCTGGCGTCCAACAGCTGCCAGCCTCTCCAAATGGAAGTTGTGAATGTTTGCGTGCTTGCTAAATAAGTATCTGTGAAATTAATGCACATAGATGCTATTAGCAATTGTAAGGCACTTGATTTTCCCAGTCAGTATAAAGTACTGACCGTGGTTGGGGTTTTTTAATTTTATTTTATTTTTTGAGACAGAGTCTCACTGTGTTGCCCTCGGTAGAGTGCCGTGGTGTCAAAGCTCATAACAACCTCTTGGGCTTAAGCAATTCTCTTGCCTCAGCCTCCCGAGTAGCTGGGACTACAGGCGCCTGCCACAACACCTGGCTATTTTTTGGTTGCAGTTGTTATTGTTGTTTAGCAGGCTCGGGCTGAGCTCGAACCTGCTACCCTCAGTGTATGTGGCTGGTGCCTTCCAGGGGTCCTCAAACTTTTTAAACAGGGGGCCAGTTCACTGTCCCTTAGACCATAGGAGGGCCAGACTGCAGGCCCCGGGATGAGTTGGCTGCTAAGCAGGACAGGCAGTGGCGGCAAAAACACCCGGCGAGCCAGATAAATGTCCTAGGCGGGCTGTATGTGGCCCGTGAGCTGTAGTTTGAGGACGCCTGCACCTACTCACTGAGCTACAGGCAATGAGCCCATGGTTGTTTTTTTTTTTTTTCCTGGTAGGGCAACAATATCTACTCCCAACCTTGAGGGAAGCTTGCCAGTGCATTCCCTCCTAGGAGAATATGGCTATTGAGGGGATAGGCTACAGATTAGTGACCTAATTCTCTGGGGAAACTCTTATACATCAGCCGTGGAAGTGACCTAATTCTCTGGGGAGACTTATACATCAGCTGTGGAGGTCTCAGGGGATGAGAAGAGGTACCGTCTTCTAAGGTTCTTGGGTTCACTCTCTGACAAGTTAAAATCAGAATACTACTTCTGTCCCTCCAATGCAGGAGGTCTTTGAACCTGCCCTCACCCCAAGAAGACAGGAAAAAGCCATGGTTCTCAGCTTGTCCAGGAGTGACTAGAATCCAGGAACTTTTTGGTGCTAATTAGAAGACCTGGATGAGAAATGGCCACAATGGAGACGGGGGTGCATTCTAGAGTTTTTGAAATGCCAGTAGTAGGTAGAAGGGGTAGAGAGAAAAACACACGCCGCTGGGTAGGAGGAAGAGAAGGAAAGGCAGCTGGGCTGGGAGAGAGAATAAAGAAGGAGCTAGAGGCCCCCGGATGCACCTGACTCCTCGGCTCCCCCTCCTCGGAGAGCAGATGGGCACTTCCTCTAGTTCATGCCCTTCCCCTGAGGCATGTGTACAAACAAAAGACCCAGGAATAAGAGCTTTAGGTCTCTTTGAAATTGCAGGCATTTTGTTCGGTGGAAGGTGAAAGAAGGAGCTTGTGCTCAGGAGTCTGGATGTCCAGCTCTGTGATGTGGGTTCCAGAGGTACTTTTCTGGGGCCGCAGCCCTCCCTGGTAACAGGGTCTTAATGTGACCACAACGCCTCCTCCCCACCCACCCAAAAAGGGGCAACCAAATCCAGCACAGGATTTTTTTTTTTAATGTTAATAGTGTCTTTCTTAATGTCTAATGTCTGGTCCACTTGCAAGTTATTTTTTATTTGTTTTTATTATTTGTTCTTGATTGTTAACTATGAAAGGTAATGCAGTAAAGTGTCTTTGGTTGATGGTGTCCTTTCTTGTGGTTGAGGCTTTGGATGATGCACACAGCAGGGAGTGTTAATAGCAAACATGACACGTAGCGAACCAGAGAGACTGACGTTTGCTGACTTCATTAAGGGCTATTGGATTACCCAAGACAGTATGTTAACACCGAGGAGGCATTTCAGGTTGCTCTCCCCATGCACAGCTCACTCTCCCTCCCCATCATGATGGAACAGCCAAGTATTTTGTGTAGGACTGATTCCTCTCCCAGCTCCTGGGGTTGGTCCTGGTTTGGCCAATCAGTGAATTCCATTCCTCCTTGCCACAGTAATTGACTTAAGAATTAGTGCCAATGAATGATACAATTGAAATAAAGCCAAACTTTGTTAGGGCTCTTGGAGGAAAATATACACTTTCTACTTCTAGAAAGTGGGCTTGAAGATATGAAGTCTTGAACAGCTTCCATTTTGCTGAGGACAAAACTGATACATAGAGAAGAGCTGAGAGAACTGCAGGAAATGGAGCTAGTGCCTAGATCAAACCACACCTGAAGCCAGTTTGAATAGTCTTTCCTATTATTTGTAGCTAAAAACATCTTCACTGATACCTTATGTTTACCCTTGTGTTCCCATGACTAAATGGTAAATGAAATAGAGGAAACACATTCTTATGAGTTATGAAAGCCCACAGGAAAGACATTAGTCATCAACCAGTAAGTTAACAGCAGCAGAGTTAATAAAGACAGAAGTTAAAATTGACTGACCATGGTAACTTGTCATCACAGACTTTATTTCTGACCTGAATATTACCCCCTTTACATTTAAAAATGGTTCTGTATCCAGTACTAGCAGTAGGCTATCTGAACCTCATTCTAACAAGCCCCTTCTCCCTGAAAGCCCTCTGAATCAGAGCATGCCAGCTCTTGTCACTCCTCAAAGGTCCTGAGCTATAAAAATTCTGGGCTTCATGGGCCATTCTTCAGAGATGTTCATTGTTATTGTTTGAATAAAAATGTTCTAGGCTGGGTGCAGTGGCTCATGCCTATAATCCAAGTATTTTAGGAGGCTGAGGCAGGAGGATTGCTTGAGGCCAGCCTGGGCAACACAGTGAGACCCTATCTCTACAAAACAATTAGCTGATGGAGGCCTTGCATGGTGGCTGGAGGAGGCCTGGCATGGTGGCTCATGCCTGTAATCATAACACTCTGGGAGGCTGAGGTGGGTGGATTGCCTGAGCTCAGGAGTTCAAGACCAGCCTGAGCAAGAGCGAGACTCAGTCTCTACTAAAAATAGAAAAATTAGCCAGGCCTACTGGCACATGTCTGTGCTCCCAGCTACTTGGGAAGCTGAGGCAAGAGGATCACTTGAACACAGGAGTTTGAGGTTGCTATGAGCTATGATGCCATGGTACCTCTACTCAGAGTGACAGAGTGAGACTCTGCCTCAAAAAAAAAAAAAAAAAAATTAGCCAGAGGTGGTGGCGTGTGCCTATAGTCCTAGCTACTTGGGAGGCTGAGACAGGAGAATCACTTGAGCCCAGGAGTCTGAGGCTATAGTGAGCTATGATCACATTCCTGCACTCCAGCCTTGGTGACAGAGTGAGACCCTATATCTAAAACTTTTTAAAAATGTTTTGAACATGTCTATGTATAATATTTATGAAACAGCTTTTGTAGTCAAGGTTGCTTTTGATTCTTACATAATACAACCTATAATTCATTTGTTTTTGCTTACTCGTACCTTTGCAAAGATTTTCTATTCACAGTAATGAGCCAAACTCCTTGTGGCTTATCACTGCTGGTCTTCCAGTGACTGCTACCAACCATTCTGGCTTTGCCTCTCGCCCCCCTCCTGACAGTGCACTAACACTTTGACCATACCTGCTGCTTCCTGAACATATA